TTGTAGCTTTGCTATGGACTATTTTTCCTACCATGAACTGATGGAAGTCAACTGGATTTCATCTAGCATCAGCCTATGAAGACCCAAGACACGTGAGATGGACTGTGTTATGCTTTTTATTAGTTAGCATAATTCTATTTCTTTATTTTTCCAGCTGGAGTGGGGAGGGGAGTATTCCGTTTGTCTTGATATGAAAATGTACCTACTGAAATATTTTACTATCAACTGAAACTTTTACTAAAGCAATTCTTTTCAATAAAGCAGTAATGATTTGATCTGCATGCATTGGTTCTTGGACAGACTAGCTGAATGTCTAATTGGCCATGTGTGTTTGCTACCAAAGATTTAGAGCCAGATTATTCTGAGTATAACTCATGGATTTGTCTGTGTGTGTTGCTTTCTTAATAAAGGGGATTGGCTTTGAGGAAGAAATTTAGACAGGACCTTGCTGAGACCTAAGGGCTCTGCTCAGCAGTCAGAGGTTTGTCTGGATTTCGGACTCATCCCAGTCTCCGGCACCCCCATAAATCTCTTTGGAGATAAGGGGCTGCTTACATGGTGGCAGCCATTTTCGCTGCCCGGTAAGCGAGGAAACCACGTGAAAACACAGCGGGTGGCCATTTTTTTACCCAGCGGCCATTTTGGAACCGCCGATAAGCTGTTAAAAAACATCACTATGCGAAAATCGGTAAGCGAAACAGCTTACCGATCATCGCAAAGCGATTTTTTACTATCTAAAACATTGCAATGCGATCGCAAAAGTGATCGCAAAAACTTAATCGCTATGCGGATTCGTCGTTAAATGGGGCGCCCGTTAAGCGGGGCACCACTGTAATTATTTTCAGTCCAATATTATTTTAAAATAATACAAACAAGTAACATACTTTATTTTTAAAAATTATACAATGGCAATCTCTCGTTAACACAGAACTAATAAAGATACTATGTAGCAAACTGTGCCTACCTTTTGTCAAATACTACAAATGCTACACAAACTTAGTTTCAGTGTCATCACAGCTCAGAAATGTAAATGGAAAAGATAACATGATAGGATTATTTACATCTTTTTAAAATTATTTTTAAAAATTTTCAAAACAATAACAGATACAAAAATACAAAATACTTACAATAGATTCTAAACCGCCATGCACCCCATACCCATGGGACCCCTTGGAATAATACTTTTAATACCAACTTCCTTTCCAAAATTGTATTGATTGTTGTTTAGAGGCTTTCCCCTTTTCTTTCACTAATACAAATTTAACAAATATACCCCAAATAGCATAAAAATATTTGGACTTATTTCCCCCTCTTTTCATCTTAAGTTCAGTAGTCAATTTATGTTGGTTACGTTGAGGGCGTTGTTGATATGCCGGGTAGACACCCCAATGCTTCTTTTGAACGTTCTCTAAGATGTCATCCATTTCAGCATTAAAAAGTTCGTGCCATCAAAAGGAAGGTCTTCGATGCATGCTTGAGCATCTTCTGCAAGACCAGCCGTGCATAACCAAGAAAAACGTCTTAATGCCACAGATGTAGCCATCGATTTTGCTGTGGCATCAACAGTGTGTTTGGCGGAAAACATTTGTTGTTTGGCAACAGAAAGGCCTTCTTGTTGAAAGGTTTGTGCAAGTACCTTCTTGTCCTCTGGTAAGGAGTCAATGAAGGTTGTCATATTGTCCCAAAGGAAGAGTTGGTAAGCTCCCATGGCTCCTTGGTAGTTTGCTACTCTCATTATAAAAGCTGCTGAGGAGTAGAGTCATCTGTCCATAGAATTGATTCTCCTACTGTCCTTATTGGGTGGAATGAGGGTTCAATGGAGTCGAGATTGAGATTGCGAGGCCTCAATGAATATCGAGTTCGGAGCTGGTTGTTTAATGCTCCAAGATCATGGATTTGGTAGAGATTGCTGATTTGTTTTGATACCGAATGCGAAGAGGCCGGTTTAGTCCAGGACCATTGTGAAGTGCTGAGTAGGGATGGTAACATGGAGATATGGACTGGGGCAGTGGTATCTTTTGAAATGGGATTGTAGAGATGACCCGCCAGTTCTGTTGTTGGGCGATGGATCTGCATATCTAAAGATTTAGCCATGCGAACTATGAGTTGGGCATATGTCTGGAAATTTTCTGCGGGGGATAGAGGATTCATATCCACCAAGTCAGAATCTGGTTATAAGTACCAATGGTGTTTGTGGCCGAGATCCTCGATCTGAGATTTCGGGATTGAGTCTGGAGTCAATCGAGCGTTGATCAAGTTTGGGGTTGAGAGGTTGTGGGTCATAGTAATGTTCTTGGTGGCGTGCTACCAAAGGAAGAGGCATGTCCATAGACCTCTGTCAATGATGAGGGTCATTGGCTGCCACCAATGTCGATCTTGTGTCCATGGGCGGAGGTGCATACTCGGGAAGTCAACATCTGGATATTGACAGACTCTATGTTGAGGTGGATGTTGCTGTCGAGAGTCAGCTGTCGACCATGGATGAGGGCGGGCATAGAGAATCATTGATATCAGAGCTGATATCTCTGTGATGTCGAAAAGGAGGTTGCTGCCTATTCAGTGGGTATGTCGGTAGGCTCGCTGAGTAGATCGAGGCTGGGGAGGCCGATCTGGAAGAACGGTCTCCATTGTTCTGAGGGGCTGGAAAGTATTGGCTGACAGGAGCTACAAATACCTCACGACTACCTTAAGCTTTTGAAGTGGCTGGTAGATAGCCACCTGATGAGTGTTTGGACCTGGATGGTACGAACACATAGACACTAAGGGTTGTCGAGATGGAGCCTTGTGATGTAATCAAATGGTAAAAATACTTTAAAATTTTCGATTTGGGGGCAAGGGTGATGACCCCCCCTCCTTTTAGAGGTAACTTTTTGAGCCAATTTTTATTTTAAAAATTGCCAGGGCCAAGGACTCCAGGGTGCCACGGTAGCATTCTGGTCCCTGAGTTGTTGCATACATACTCTTCATGTTGTTCCCCTTCCTTTATATCACTGATACAGGCCTTATCATTGGGCCTTGGGTCTTAGAACCCTCTCTTCATTGACAATTATGTTTCCTCAAGTTAATAGCTCCATATTCTGAAGCAATTGTATTTTACTATCTTGTTAATTGTTTTATTCACTTACTGCTTGCTGTATATGAAGTTTTACTATAGTGAAGTTTTAGCATAGATTTTTGCAATTATTGTGCACATTTTGATTCCTGAAATTGCTGTGTATGAATCTGTACTTGCCTGCATTAGGACCAATGCAGTAATAGCCTATCTGTTTACACATGCATCTTGAGGGGAAACTTTGTCATGATTTCTTCCAGAAAAACAGGTCACTGATGGAATCCACTAGAACCTCTTACCACTCAGAAGCAGGGCACAGCTATGTAGGATGTGGGTTAGGTAACAAGAGAACCGACAACTTTAAGGTATTTAGGGCAGAAATTCAGGCTGCTGCTACTTCAACAAATACTTTGGGATTTGCTCTGCAATTAGCATGGGAGTACTTCAAGCATTTTTCAATGATCACATGACTCAAAGGCCACTGCAAACCAACCTAGCCCTTTTTGCTTCTGATTTGGAGTTTCTCCTGTGCTGCTGGAGGCTTCTACTTTGTTTTATTTTAAGGAGTGTGCGGCTCTGGGTAATGTTGTGGTGATCTAATAAGATGAGGTGTGATGTTCTGGGAGAGTGGGAACATCCACGCCTGCAGTTTTTCTCCCTAGTTGCCCCAAAGCAGTTATTCAGTTTTTGTTAAAACAAACTACCATGTTTAGTGCTAGTTCTCATTATGGCTGCATTGATACATTTGTTTAGTGCTATATCACCTCTGTATGAACTATATATGAAAGGAGACTAAGGAATTATCATGTGCTTGGGCCCATATCAAACTGTGGGAACACTAGCACTGAAACAATCTGGGGTCTTCATGTGAAGAATTTGGTTTATTTTTAATGGATTTGATTATACTGCTATAGGACTCCCAAATAATTTGTCCCTGTTTGTTTTTAAGAGCCTGTTAATTTGGATTTCACCATTTCAGGATAGAATATAGAGCACTTACTGTCTGCTGGATAATCCTTGGTTGTTCAGATACAGCAGGAGGAAGAGAAGGAGGAGGAGTCTGGTAGATATGATCTGGTATGAAGTGCTTTTTTTGAATTTTTGGCAATTCAGGTGGTAGTGAAAGTTCTTCCAAAAGTTTTTGCTCCTAGAGTACCCCCAAATGCATATGAGGTGAATATATTTGCTAAAGGAACCCTTCTGAAATAAGAGATTCCAAATTATTTTAAAAACACAGGACTCTGATCCACTAACTGATACTACATATAGCCCTCCAGGACAGAAAAGTTGTTACGAAATAAATTACTTTATAACAGAAAATAACTTGGTCCGCTCTGAGAATTTCCTTCCTAACCAAGAGATGTTGTGCTAGGATTTAGCAGTCTGTATGGAATGTGCCTAAGAATGTCAATCTCAACAGAATTTCTTAAAAAGTCATTGTATGTATAGATTTGTTTAACAGATAGATTTGTTTAGCAGATACATCAACCAAATGATGTAGCTGAAAGCAAGAAATATATAAGTGTGTTACACCGAAAAAAAGATGTCAGGTTAAAAACACAGACTGCATTGAAAGATAGCATTTACAGCAAATGATGAATAATTTATCATTAATTCCAGGTCTTTTTTCCCGTTTGTCTTAATATTTTGCTGTAGAACCCACTTTTGAAGACTTGTGCTATAGAATCAGATTGTCCTACCAATAAATATGGTGATTAAGGGGACACAGATTGGTAGGAGAATCTGATGGTCATCATCTGACCATGATTTTAAATTACTAAAGTGAATTTTTACAGATAGTTGTTAATTAATTGATTTCCAGTGTCTATCATTAACGATCTTGCCCAACTGTACACAACAGTCCACATGATTCTGCCAAGTGTTTTTGTATATTCTGTGCGGTCAAGTCAGAAGCGACTGATAGCGACCCTAATAGGGCTTTTAAGGTAAGTGAGATATTTAAGGAGTGGTTTTACCAGTTCCATTCCCCCAGTCAGTTTCCATGGCTGAGTGGGGATTTGAACCCAGAGTCCTAGTCCATCACTATATTCACTACACTACTCTGGGAACCTCAAATGTGATTATAGAAAAAACAGAAGATTAGATACTAGTATTTTTGAGCAAAAGAAAATAATAGATAAAATAGAAAAAGAAGTGATGGAAATACAGGAAATAAATGACAGGGAAGGTTCTAGCCAGGGCACTATGAAATCAATGATAATGAGAAACAGGGAATCACATAATTTTAACAAGAAAAACAAATTTAAAATGTTGAGGATGAAATAAGCTTGTTGGAAAGAAAATATATAATAGATAAGTATTTTTAAAAAACAAATCAGTAATATGGGCAGAAAGGAAAGAATGAGACAACATTGAAATATAATATTATTCAGCTACAGCAACGTACAAAGAACTGGGTAAAAAAAGATGGTAAATGTAGGAAATTTACAAATCATGCGTATTATTATTGTTAATAGCGGTGAGATTGATTATTGCTAGGAACCAAAAAACAGCTTGTAATTTCTAGTCAGGTGACTGGTATAGAGAAGTTTGGGACACAGCTATCAATAATAAGATTACATGTAATATAAAAGTTAAGAAAAAGTAAAGACACAGTTGAATTTACAGACATGCAAGAAGAATTCATAAATTTTGCATTAATAAGGGGAAGGGACAAAGCAAGAGTCAGTATAATTCTGGAAGGGAGATGGGGCTCCACAAGGGTAAATGGTATAGACTGTTATTCCCAAATAGTCCTGGTGGGCAGTACTGTGTATTTAGATATTTGTTTAGTTAGGTCTAACATAAATTCACATTGCTTCAAAAATTCTGACACAAACCTACTGTTCAAATATTTGACATTGCAACCCTATAAATGTCTACTCAGAAATAATTTCCAATATGCTTAAGAATGCTCATTCTTAGAAAAGTATGTATATGTTTACGCCTAGCCTAACTTATTGAGATTTGTTGAAAAAAATGTTTGGGCGACCTACCCTGAGCTGCTGCAGGAGATCTTTTTGTCGTCTCAGTGCACTCTGTAAAGTATAATCATGTCCACCGCGATTCCCTATTAAAATAAAAGAAGCTGGAGATTATACCTCTTTTGGATTATTACTATGTTTAGTACATGAAAAGTAGGAAAGGATTATACCTTTTATTCAGAAACTTCCTTTCATATATTTTCTGGACAAGGTTTTTTGTACTTTTGAAGACAGGAGATGCAAAAGACTAACAGTGCATCCTACAATGAGCGAAAGTATACAGTCTTCCCAAAAGTTTGGGCTATTGGAGCAACCAAAGTATGCACCTGTGATAATTTTTCAAGTATAATGTCACAACTCTCATGAGTTAAATTACCTGTAAGTACAAACTAAAATTTGAAATTATGTATCATTGGATTTAACTATAAATATATTTATTTGGGAACAGATAAGGCATTTAAATGCAGAGCATTTAAATAATGCAGAGCATTTAAATAATATGTTAAAAATAACGTATATAATACTGAAGGGACAACTGTGATACAATTGTGAGTGCAGCAATAAGTGGGGTAAGGTCCTCTCATCAGTTTCTGGTTCCAAGCCAGGTCCTCGTAAAATATATTTTCCAGCATTAAAAAGAACTTTTCTGTCGAATAGTAATTTAACCTTTGTATTTCAAATATAAAATGTCAAGTGGAATCTTACTGGTGTTTATGTAAGATCTGCATAACTTGCCACAGCTAACTGCAGCCAACTGTCAAGATACTAAGGTGCATCTCACATGTGCAATCAATTGTGTGGCCAAGGCAAGATATACCCCAGCACCTGGTTAGTTAGCCACAATTAGCTATATCAAATTACACAAACCTTATGTGAATACCAACTGGAATCTAGAATTGCTGGAACACTCAGCGGCTTGGCCATCTGGCTGTAGAGCTAGAGATTGGGAGTTTGATTCCTCATTTGTCTCCTTGACAGGGGCTGATTTGATAATTCATAGAGTCTCTTCCAGCCCTGCATTTCTATGATTATGATCATCATCATTTTGTAAACTATTTGTTTATATGCTGTACAGTGCCAAATGGAATGCTTAATCAAATATGGTTAGAGACCACATGAAATCTGTGGGAGGATAGTCCATATATACTTTTCTTATTACGTGCCCACACTGCTGCACTACAGCCATTTAAGTGGTAAGATACTGTACACATGAAATTAATGCCTGCCTTACTTGTTTCTCTGAAATTTTCCCCACAAAAACTTTAGGAGATAAAAAACCTTTGTAACAACTTCTTTAGAGTAACTACTTAAGTGGAAAACTTGCTCTGCCCTAAAATCTTGACCAGGGGAAAGATATGTGATTATCAGATAGCATAGCTACAAGAGCTGTAATAGAACCCAACCTCAACTTAAAGCATCAAAGAATTAAATGAAACAATCCCTCTTCAGCAAACACGGTCTAGATCTGAACCAAAGAAAAAGTATATGTTGGATGAAAACATACACTTTCAGTAACATAGAATGCATCTGTCCAGAGCTCAATTGTTGTGTTCCAGCAAAGAGAGATCAATTCATATACTCCAGGTATAGGACATGGTGGCGCTGTGGGTTAAACCGCAGAAGCCTCTGTGCTGCAAGGTCAGAAGACCAGCAGTCGTAAGATTGAATCCACGCGATGGAGTGAGCTCCTGTTGCTTGTCCCAGCTCCCGCCAACCTAGCGGTTCGAAAGCATGCAAAATGCAGGTAGATAAATAGGTACCACCTCAGTGGGAAGGTAACGGCATTCCGTGTCTAGTTACGCTGGCCATGTGACCACAGAAACTCTCTACGGACAAACGCTGGCTCTACGGCTTGGAAACGGGGATGAGCACCTAGAGTCAGACAGGACTGGACTAAATGTCAAGGGGAACCTTTATCTTCGCCTAGGTATAGTACTAACAATTTCTAAAAGTTATATGCCACCTTTCTCCTAAAGGATTGAAGATGGTTTACAATATTAAAAGAAACAAAGTTTAAAGCTAAACAATAAATTGTTACAATATTAAAACATCATTAAAATTATATCATATTAAACCTCATAAATAAGAGTAATATTAAAAATTCAAATAAAATAACAAAATAAAATAATCCCTTTAAAAATCTCCTTGGTCAACCAGCATGCCTAAAGAGAAATGTCTTCATCTGCTTGTAGAAGGACAGCAAAGACAGGGCCAGCCTGGCCTCCATTTGGGAGGGAGTTCCAAGTATGGGAGCACCAATATAGAAGGTCTTCCCCTCTGTCCCCACCAAATGAACCTGTGAAAGTGGTGAGACCAAGAGAAAAGCCTCCTCTGATTATCTCAGGGATCAGGGAACTTTTTTACCTTTTACCCCCCCCAAAAAAATTTATATACGCCGACATTACCCACTTGATTTGAAAGGAAGGAAATCATACATTATTTGAATTCAAAATCTTATTGAATCTGTTCAAAATTACTCTGAAAGCTTCAACTGACTTGAAAACTTCAGGTTTTGGAGAAATAATGTTGCTTCATATTGGATATGAGAGCATCAATATTGGGGCTCTGCTCATCCTCATTACCCCCAGGATTTTCATTTTTACCCCATTTGTAGTAATTTACCCCTGTTCCCTGACCACTGGATTATCTTAACACCCAGGCAGGCTCATAAATGAAGTCCTTGAGGTAACTTGGATCCAAGACATTTAGGGCTTTATAGGTTAAAACCAGCACTTTGAAATGTGCCCAGAAATGGACTGGCAACCAGTGGAGCTGTTGTAACAGGGGAATTACCAGTACAGTGGGGTCTCTACTTAAGAACTTAATCCGTATTGGAAGGTGGTTCTCAAGTTGAAAAGTTCTTATGTTGAATCTGCATTTCCCATAGGAATGCATTGAAAACCATTTAATCCGTATCTGCTCTTTTCCGTCCATAGAAACTACAGTGGAACCTCTACTTAAGAACTTAATCCATTTTGGAATGGTGTTCTTAAATTGAAACGTTCTTAAGTTGAAGCAAAATTTCCCATAGGAATGGATTGAAAACCAATTAATCCGTTCCGGCTGTTTTTTTGTTATGTAGAGGTGTGTTCGTACATTGAAGCATTAGTTCCCATAGGAACTAATGCAAAGCTGGTTAATACGTACTCTACCACTAGGGGGAGAATTTTTTTTTAACCTAAGATGACCTAAGGTTAAAAAAAGCGCAGGAAAGATTTTTTTTTCCTGTTCTTATCTTGGATTTCTGTTCTCAAGTAGAAGCAAAATTTAGCAAATGGAGCTGTTCTTAAGTTGGATTGTTCTTAAGTAGAGACGTTCTTAAGTAGAGACCCCACTGTATATCCATCCCCAGTTAACAAACTGGCTGAAATATTTTGTACTTCCTGGGGTTTCCAAACACTTTCCAAAGACAGTCTCATGTAGAGCACATTATAGTAATCCAGCCAAGATGGAACTAAGGTATGTGACACCATGGTCAGATCAGACCTTTCAAACAAGGGGCACATGTGGTGCACTAGTTTTTAACTGTGTAAAGCCACTCCTCACCACAGCTGAAAGCTGGGCATCCAGGCTCAGAGATGAATCCAAGTGCATCCCTAACTCTTTGATAGTCATTCATTACTTATTAATTCCAAAACAAATATGAGGCAGTTTTAACTGCTTACTTGTTGTAGAGACGGAAGGTTCGAAGTCATCTGAATTTTCATATTCATTTTCTAGTTTCTGTGGATCACAGAAGCATGGCAATTAATAGGCAAATGGGGACACTGGCTTTGACTTTCAACTAGAACTCAGAATAACCCATTTAACCCCATTGTGTTATCCATTATTTCTCAGCAGGTCTGTTGTTATCATTGTTCTAATATTATAGAATAGTGCAAATATTTTATATTCATTTTAGTGGCCAGTTCCATGTTCTAGCTTGGAAAATACAAAAACAAAACCAGAGAACACTCATAATTAATAAGAAAATAGCATGACATTTTAAAAATCCTTTTCAAAATCTTTTTAAAGTGCCTTAAAATTCCTTTAAAAGCAATGTTTGAAAGTAACTTAGATGTCACCCACCAATCTAAAAGGTAATTTTGTGATTTACTTTTAAAAGAGGTGGCCGTGTTAGTCTGTGCTAGCATGTCAGGCAAAACCAAAATTTTAAAAAAAAAGACAAAAACACAGTGGAAGAAGTGGACATATCCCCCAAAGTTTGATTGAAATACAGCACTTAGTTTTTAAGGTGCCAGTATTTTATTGACTTCTTTAATTTTTAATTTTTGTTTTTGTGATTTACTTTTACATTACTCATTACCTAAAACAACTAGTTACATGTAACCATGTTATGTGCATCTAGTTACCTCCTAACACTTCTTTCAACAAGAGTGTGTAAGCCTCTCAGTATCAGCTTTAACAAACAAGTGAGCTTGTCAAGAACACAAGTGTAGAATCCTGGGGCCAGCCATGAATTGAAATGATTGCTTAACTCATGCTTTCTTTTCAATGTCAGAGCAAAATTAAATCCAAAAGAGAGAGTTGGAAGGCATATGGAACAAATAATGCTCTAAAGTGACTACTGAAGCATGGAAAGAAAAGCATCTGAATGTGTATTTCAGTTTTAAAACTTCATTAGAGAAGTAAAGTCTAGAGAATCCAGAAAGCAACCTAGACAAAGAAGTTGGCAAAAAACAGAGCAATCCAATGGTGATTGTAGCTGAGCAACTTCTGAGACAGGACTGGGATGTCCCAATTAATCCATTACAGGCAAAAAAGTGAAGACTTAAGAATAGAAATTATATCAATGGCCCAAACTATTGTTCAGCCACTTCAGATGTTTGGACAATAGTTAAGTTTGCATAATTTCTGAAATCCATTTTATGTCTCTCACAAATCCAAGAAATGAATTACAGTAATTGAACGTGCAATCAGACAGACCCATACTGTACTTTGATTGACATTGGGGACAGACTGTTTCGCTTCTTCAGTGACCACATGATGTACAGGCAATCATGAACCAGCCTGTACCTTGTCTTCACCTGGGCTCACCTTTATGGGTCCTTTATGGGCTACTGGTTTTGTTGTTGTTGCTCTTTGTGTATTTTGGTTTGCTTCTGTTTTCTATGGTTGCCAGGACTGAAACAAAGCAGATCACTTACCTACCTCGTTAGGAAAATCAGGAAGCAACAGCTTCTGGAACTCATACTGCAGGTTCAAATCACTTTTCAATAAATTTAAAGCTTGTTCCCATCCCAACCCCCATGGGGGAAACAGAAGAGTATGCAAAGTTTTTTTTTTTTAAAAAAAAGCTCTTTAAATCCAATCCTGCACCGGCTGCTCTGCCACTTGAATATAATTTTTTAAATTGAAATATTCCTCCCCTTGCCCCACAGAGACAAGGAGAGGATATTTTCAGTTTGTGTGTGTGTTTCCTTGTTTTTATTCTGTTTATGTTTCCCTTTAAAAGGAGTAATGGATTAAATAGGACTGCTTGAGGTGCAGTGTAGTTTCATGTCCCGAAACCAGCAGGTCCTTCCACATCGATGCAAGGATCAACCTACTGGCATACTACACTGCTATGGTCAGTTTCGTCTCTCTACATTGTTATACCTCTACATACAGTGGTGCCTCGACTTATGAACTTACTCCGTTCCAGAAGATGGTTGTCACTCAAAATGGTTGTAAGTCGAAGCACCATTTCCCATAGGAATGCATTGAAACACGATTAATTCGTTCCGGCTGGAAACCTCCCCCAACAAAAAAACAAAAAACAAAACAACCCGCCCCCAAAAACCCCCCAAAACACTGCAAGACCCATTGGAAACATGATTAATCTGTTCCGGCTGGAGGACCCCCCCCCAAAAAAAAACCCAAACACAACCTGCAAATCCCATCAGAAATGGGGGAGAAAAACCCAGAAAGCAAACAAACCCTGCAAGACCCATCAGAAATGCATAAACCAAAAAAAATCCATGGAGTATCTGATAAATTAGAATGGAGGTTTATATTTAAATTGGCTATCTTTCAACTGAATATTTTTTTAAAAAAAATCCTTATACTTAGCCAATAAGGTACTCAGAACTGATCGTTTTGAATCCTTACTTACTGATATTAAAAAGAGACTAAACAAAGGGTACTTATTGCAGTATCTTCTTCACTTTCTCATTAGAACTCATTAGATACATGGAATCTATTAGAAGGACAACAATAAATCAGAACCAAATATTGCTAAACATGTTTGCCGATCACTCAGCCATTTGAGTGGAGGATCCCAAAAATGATCTTCCAAAGATACTGGACCTTATCTCAGAGTTAGGCATGGTTTCAGCACAATCTATTAATCATACTAAATCAACTGTGTTTTAATATGACTAAATAAGATTAATTAGAATTCAATAAATCACTGCTATATGAGTAAAAATAACAGAATATATGGAAAGTCAGGCCCCACTCCCAAATGAATTGTAATACTAACTATAAACCTTTATTTCAATAAATAAATTCAGAGCTCAGAAAGTGGGAAAAGGCAAACTTAACTTGGTTAGAGAAAATTGTAGCAGTTAAAACATCTTAACTACCAAAATTATCTCACATGATTTAGATGTCAGCAGTCTCAGTTTTAAAAACTTATATAAAGAAATGGCAAAGCATTATTATAGCTTTTATTCACTGCAATAACAAGCCAAGACTTAGGGGGGAAATACTATACTTTAAGAGTTGCGTTGTTGTTGTTTAGTCATTAAGTTGTGTCAGAGTCTTCCTGACCCCATGGACCAGAGCACGCCAGGCCTTCCTGTCTTCCACTGCCTCATGGAGTTGGGTCAAATTCATTTTGGTAGCTTCGGTGACACTGTCCAATCATCTCGTCCTCTGTCGTTCCCTTCTCTTCTTGCCTTCACTCTTTCCCAACATCAGGGTCTTTTCCGGGGAGTCTTCTAATCAGATGGCCAAAGTATTGGAGCCTCAGCTTCAGGATCTGTCCTTCCAGTGAGCACTCAGGGTTGATTTCCTTCAAAATGGATAGGTTCTCTTTGCAGTCCAGGGGACTCTCAAGAGTCTCCTCCAGCACCACAATGCAAAGGCATCAGTTCCTTGGCAGTCAGTTTTCTTTATGGTCCAGCTCTCACTTCCATACATCACTACTGGAAAAACCATAGCTTTGACTATGCGGACCTTTGTCAGCAAGGTGATGTCTCTGTTTTTTAAGATGCCATCTAGTTTTGTCATTGCTTTCCTCCCAAGAAGCAGGAGTCTTTTAATTTCATGGAGCCCAATGATCACTGCCCATAACACAACATGGAGTTGTGTTATGGGCACATCAAATATACAACTTTACTATGAGGTTTCTCAGTCAAAACAAATTATAGCAGTTATAAAAATTTTTAAAGAGCAACTACGGTTTGGTTTAGAAACACCAATTGATGAAGAACATACCATATAGAGCCTCATATTCTGGTCAAACAAGAGACAAAACAAGTTTAATGTGGATAATCTCTTTTTTAGAAACATCAGGGTAGATATGGGGGAAAAGGGCAAAGCTTTTATCTGTGGAGCCATAACCACCAATGCCCTTGCTTTGCCACCCTCTGCTTTTTGACAACTATAAATGCAAATACTGTAGTCAATATGAAAATAAGGGGTTATATAGTCCCGAATCCCAAAACAAGTCAATAATTAAACAAACAGTTATGGCAGATAAACTATAACTGGATACAATTGTATCAGATTATCCATTTCAGTGGTATGTTAGAAATATGGAACCACTAACACTTTTTGAGATATTGATCACCCATAGCACTGGGTCATCTACAGGAGTAGCTTTGAAAATTCATGTAATTTTAATAGACAATGGCTAAAATTCTGTTGTTTCATTCTGTTTTTCAATGGGGTTTTTTGGTAGATTATTATAAAATAAAAAGATTTAAAAAGAAAGAATATGAGTCTATTGTATCTGGAACAAAAGAGTTTTACCATATATCTTTCTCTCAAAATTTGAAATAATTCAGAGATAGGCCTCCAATACTTTTTTCTTTCTGTCAGATGCTGAAGTACATTTGATAGAAAAATACAGAGTTAATGCTTCCAATATCATTAATTCTTTCCAAAGATTTCAGTTTCTTGTGATGCACAAGCAGAAAGATTTTTTTAAAAATGCATTAGCTGATTGCTTTCTCATTAGAACCCCTAATTAGCATTGTTAGGCAATTGTATCAGTGGCAACTTGCTTAAGCAGTATTTTAAAAAACTGTTTTGTTAATGTCAGATGTTCTATTTGTTGTCTTTGTTCGGCCAAAGTAAGAAAGAGAAAACACTGCAAAATTGGAGCTAATAACCCTAATATTGAATTTGGTTTTCTGTATTAGTCCATACAGCTAACGTTTTGGCTGCTTTTGATTATTTTGCCTTGTATTTTACTGTCAGTCACTTAGAATACTGTTTGGTGGACAGGCAGGATACACATGTAATTAAATATATCCTGGTGGGAATGATTTCTTGAATTTCAGGTTTAAGAATCAATAATGGTGATAATTTCAAACCCTCAAATTTCCTAATGAATGAATCTGTTGTTGAGAATGTACAAGCTGTTGGGGATCAACCTCTCTTCTATGATACCTGCTGATCTTCAACAGAGGGTGTGATCAGAGGAGCATTTGCCCCGTGATTTGGTCCAGGTTGGGAAAGGGCTGGTTAGCACCTTTTCCAGTGACCGCACCAAATATGTGTCACTGCAAACC